GGGGGTGCGACAACTTCACCACTTCACTAAGTCGCCACACCCACAAAAAATTTTTATAAGGTATAATGATAACGATAATGATTAATGTTCTTAACGATATTAACATTTTTAAGTTCAAAATTATCAAGCCAAATTTTTAACCAGACAATTCTTGTAATAGCCAAAAGTGTGGTTTTAAACTAACACTAAAAAAACATATTTGCGAAATAAGAATCTTTTAATATATATTTATTACATTTATCGTTATTAGATTCTTTGTATTAGTTTAAATTGTATCTACAATGAACCTGTTTATTATAGAAAATAAAAAATTTTCAAGATTTTTAGATGGAGAAAGCGAAATATATAAGAATCCAGATTACGAGTATGCTCTTTTAGATGATAGTCATTCAGATATACAATCTGAACTTTCTTGTAATTCAGCTAATACGATTACATCAAGAACTAGTAATTTAGTTGAAGGCGAAAACTCTACTTTTACAGAAGGCGAAAACTTTACCTTTTCAGAAGATAAAAATTTTACTTTTACAGAAACCGTATCGAATTTTATTAAGGCATATTCAAATTCAAATTTAGTTGAGAATGAAAACCTTGAAAATAATATTGATTGGCTTAACTCTGAACTAGATATTTCATCTGAAGCTGGATCTAACGAAAGTTATATTGATATAGTTGATATTGATAATGAAGAATTAGATATAGAAATTAGCAATCATAAAACAAATGAAGTTTCAGAACAATGTATTGTGTTGGACTTTATAGATGGAAAAATTCAACGATATCCAAATTCAAGATACCAACCATTAAAACAATTGACGGATATTTGGGAATTAGATTTTCCTACTATTAATTCTATGATGAAACAAAATCAACCAAAGATACTAGAAACTCTTGGTGTATGTCAGTCGCATTTTAATTTTGATGAAGATGGCTTACATGAACGTGGTATAAAACAATATACATCAATTGAAAAGTCATTGATTCACAGACGTCGATGTCTTTTTTGCAATGTCAATAAGTATTTTTTTAGTAGAGATAGAAGATGTGAAACACATTCATGGACTATACTAGACTGAAATATACGTTTACCATATATGGGCTTAAAAAATTGCCCTGTATTTAATAGCGAATTATTGTCAAAAAAAGTATCAAACAATACACAATGTTGTTTTATTTGTTCTGAATGCTTTATATGAGAGGGTGGTCATTTTTATCAGAGATGTAAAAGAGGAAAAAATAAATTACCAGAATCATGTGCGGATATTCATGCTGAAGACAATTCTAAGTCATTAGAATTAATAGGAAGATGGTTAGTTAGTGTATCCAATACTGATAATAATAATATAAAAATCAAATTATTGCATGAAAT